CAGGTGCACGAAGCATTACCGCGCCCGGGGCCATGGTGCGCCGACGATCAATCACGTCACTCCCACGCCACACTCCTGACACCGACGCTCCTCTACTCCCGGTGGCGCCCGATTAGGTAAGCGACCCAGCAGGGACTTTCGGCCGTGTCCCAAACTGAATACCACGAAGCAGCTCCTGAAGCGCTGATATGCCGAAGCAGCGCGCACGCGCGTACGTGATAACGGACCTCCTCCAAGACGCAAGAGTGCGCGCTCAATCAAAATAGTGATGGCGATCATAGACCATCCCGAGTAGAGGGCGGCATCACTGAATTAGGACCAGGAGGCCGTGGCCGGGGAAGCGATGAGTGGCATCGCCGTACCATACCGCCGGTGCTCAAAGTGGCACCAACCGGGTTGGGTACGCGAGGCCACACAGCGCATCGTCCGACGGATCAGTGATGAGAGGAGGAATGAGTGGATCGGAGCGGTTAAATACCCGAAAGAAACGGGGCCGAGCCTTACCTCATTCGCAAGGTGCTGGATGTAGGGGCACCGGCCAGCTCCGGATGGGGCAACGATTAGGGGGCTGAGGGTCTACCGGTTCTCGCAGGGGGCCAACCTACGTTCCGCCGAAGGGTTCAAAACGAGTACTCCCGGGACCCGAGGAACCCTGGCTGAAAAAAAACTTATTAAGCCTTTTAAGGGGGGAATCCACAACTATGCAAGGGGTATGTACAAGCGTGTTCATATATATGTGTGTGTGTGTGTGTATGTGTGTGTGTGTGTGTGTTATGTTCACTAAAACGCAACTCCACTGGAAAGGCATCAGTGGGACAGTCTCAGACGTATAGACTCGTCAGCAGTTTGAACATCTGTCTGTGTTCTTGTCTGTGTGTTGTTATGTTCACCATACACAACTCCACAAAAAAGCATGACTGTGCCAGACTGTTTTGTCAGACTTTCACCTACTCATCGGGAGGTTGAATCCCGACAGTCTGCTGAGAATACATCTGACTGATGGAGCCTTGTCTCTGTGTGTGTGTCTGTGTGTGTTGGATGTGTGTGTGCATGTTTGTGTGGGTGTGGGTGTGGGTGTGGGTGTGTGTTTGGGTGTGTGTGTGCATGTGTGTTTGGGTGTGTGTGTGCGTGTGTGCATGTCCTTGTGCATGTGCATGTGTGTGTGTGTGTGTGTGTGTGTGTGTGTGTGTGTGTGTGTGTGTGTGTGTGTGTGTGTGTGTGT